CCCCTCTCCTGCCCCTGCCGTCCCTGCGTACCCCCAAATTCCGCCTCCGCTGCCGGCAGGCCCCCATCGCGTGGTGCTGCTGCTGCCGCTCGAGCAGGTAGGTCGATGGGAGCCCCTGGTGGGCAGAGAGGGAAGAAAACCGGCCGCTTGGAGTCTGGGGGTTCAGGGAGACCCATGGCGGAGGTGCCGACGAGCGGAATCACGACCTGCCGGGCACCATCCTCTGCTGTGGCGTTGAGTACTCCTCGCTCTCTGAGTGGTAATCACTGTGAGCATGCTCATTGAAAAACAAAGAAACTGATGTATAGAGAAGGTAATTTACCAGAAAGTTATATGAAGAGAGACAGCCAGGATTCAGACCCACGCAGTCTTGATTCCACCCTGACACTAGTCTCCCAAGTCCCCTCTGGGGCCAAAGGGGAAAGAAGTAGTATTCATTGGGCTTTTAGAAGAATCAGTGTTAGAGTTTGTCTGAGCTGCGAGAACAAGATGATCTGGGTTCATCAGACCTCTCCCCCTGGTTCTTCATATACTCCTAGACTTCACTGAAATCTCGTGATTTTAACGAAAGTTTACAGAAATGTTAGATTTTCATTGATTCGTTGTTGCACATTCCTTCCTACCCCTCCAGTTCACTTAAAAAAAATTTTCATTGTTGCACAATTCCCCCCATTTGTTATGTACCTCTTATTCTGGACTGTTGTCATACAGATCATGCTTAATCTTATATTCCTTTTAAACAGCACTTTTCTTTATCTGTTCCAATGAAGTGTTCATTATTTATCCCCTCTTTTCTCATCTTCCCCCCCACACCCGTGACAGTCCCATTTTATAACTGGTGTTATGCAGTATTTGTCCTTTTGCGACTGACTATTTCATTCAGCATAATATCCTTCAGGGTCATTCATGTTGTGTAATATTTTATGAGTTCCTTGTTTTTCAGTGCTGTGTCATATTCCATTGTGTGAATATATCATAGTTTTTCTATTTTACGAAGATCTTAGGTCAGAGAAAAATACCTGCTGGTCACCGCGTGTAATATGATCGCTCAGAAATCAGCCAGTTCTTGCTATGTGAATAGTAGGTTAAGATGTTGGAATTTTTCTATCCTTGAAGACAGGAATAATAATGGTTTGGGTTTTTAAATTTTTTTTTCCTTTTTCTTTTCCTTCTAGCCGTTTGTTTTTGGTGGGGTCTGTCGTGTGACTTGCCTCTATGGCCGAGTGCAAGTGTTTGGTTTTAACATCAGCCAAGGCCAGCCTGCCTGTGATGTCTTCTCTACCTACACCAACTCTCTCCTGAGTATCACCGCAGTCCCTTACTCAAAGCCTGAGAAAAGCAAGAAGGAGCTAAGAAGGGAAGCCCGAATTTTGCTAAGAGCTTATCTTACCCGAGGTAATCAGAATGGGTACTTTGCTGAGAGACCACTGTAATAAGTAAGACTACTCATTTTCAGCTGCTTTTTATGGTCTGAGAAAGACATAAAGCATTTTAATTCTTAAGACTTAACTGCTTTTAAGTAGGAGCCGACTCAGTTGACCTTCCGCTGGGTGTTTGGAGGCTGTGAATCGCACCGGAGGAGATGATACCCATCTTTCTTAGGTGCAATTGAACCTCCAGAAAGGTGTCATTTTGGGGTTAGTGGCTTGGCTCCCTCTGGACTACATCACACAGCATCCTTAAATCTTTACAAGGGTCCTTAAAATGAAACTCTTAATTTTTTCATTGGTGAGAAAAATTGCGTTAAGGGCCTTATAGTTAATATGGGACAAACCCAAGTGCCTCCTTGTTATGTGATATAGCTTCTTTTTTATTTTTTTATTCAATCTTTCATAGGTATTTGATTTTATAATATTAAATACAATTGATCAAGCCATTTATATGTCATCACTACCTCACTGTACCTGGCCTTTCTCTTCACTCTCCCCACCCACCCTTCCATTAATGTCTGCTCCCGTTTCCCTCCCTTCTCATCTCTATCCACCCTCCATGACTGTTTCTATCCATGTGTAAACCTTGCCTTAGCTTTTTCCCCCCTTTTCAATCAGTCATGCTTCTCTTGTACCATATAGTTCACTATAGCATACACAGCTTTTTTTTTGCGTATTAGAAATGCATATTTGAAAACAACTTAAAATCTTAGACAAATGATTTTAGTATATAAATTTGATTTCTAGAATATAAAGATGTCTCTCATTAATGTTCCATACAAAAGGTTTTTACTTTGTGCACACAATTGTGTATCTTACACGTGTCGTATGGGAAACCAGGGTAGTGATCCTACACATAAATTAGGACAACACGCAGTAAAAAGGGGCGAAGAAAAAAAAATAAAAAAAAATGGGGGGAGAAGAGAAATATTCTAGTGGATCAGATTCAGGAAGCAAGCATGACACAGAATCTGTGTATTTAAGACCGAGTCAGTAACTTTAGTTAGGACACTGCAGATTGTACTGGGATTACAGGTTTGTGAGGCTATAAAGTCATGTGCACCACATTGAAACGGCAAGGTATAGTTATCAATAGAAAGGCTGAAAGAAAGGATTTTTGCTAAAGCAAATCATCTTGTCAACTGCCAAAACAAACAAAAGTGAGCATCATCATAATGAGTGTTAGGATACTGAAGGCATGTCATACCAGCTGATGTGCAGTGTGCTAAAAGTTAGAACTTCTTCACCGGTGTATACATAGTATTACTAATCATGGGAAGTTTGGGGGTTTTATTTAACTTCCTTCTTACCAAATTTCAGGCATGTCTTATTTTGGATGGAGTATAACTTTTATGTATTATTGCATCCTGTAAAAACATGTGGAGACAACATTCATTCTGTGCCAGGGTTGACCAGTGACCTTGTTTATAAACTGCTCTAGCCCTTGGCTTTCTTTCCTCAATAAAACTGTTACCAAAGATTCCATCATCTCCTCTAAAAGGAAGTTGACACAAAAATGCTTTTCCGGGGCAACGACAACCTTGCTTTCTCATTCTAACTTACTTTGAAGCCATTCAGCGTCTTCTAACTGTAGATTCCTTCAGCTTACAAATAGGAAGATTTGTCTTGACCCTGATTTCGTAGGTGGTGTAGTGGCCCTTGCTGATCCCCACGGCTTGGGGGTTTGTTGGGCGGCTCATAGACGTCATTCAGGTTCTGTGGCTGGGCCGGGTGTCAGCCACTGTCTCCACCGCTGCACAGGCTCCCTCTGCCCCCTTCCTGTTCCACCGACACTCCATACGCAGCTTTTTAACACATTGCCGCACACTTTTAATTGACCACCGTGCTTAGAAACACATTTTTTTTATCATCATTTGCGGCAATGGTTAAAAGAAGCTCTCAAACATGATTCTTAATAAAGAACAACAATAAAAAATTTTTTTTCCTCTACTGTCAGAAAGTTAACGTTTTCTCTGAGGAGATGGTAGTACTGAGAGGTGTGGACTGTAGCTGCTGTGTTCCTGTTTATAAGATAGTTTCTTTTTGTGTTCACAGATAACAGATGTCAGCTGATGAAGTATTTTTCACCTCTGTGTTCCATTGTGGTGCTAGAACGCCTGAAAACATCAACAATAGAGTTCATAAGCAGCCATCCAGGCTTATCTTCCGTCTTCTCACAAGAGGTAGAACCAGTTTTCATTGTTTTGTTAATTATTTGCTTCACAATAATCATCAGGTGGTGTTTGTTGGAATCTTTATAGAAAGACCAGTTTGTTTCTCTTACTAGTCTTGCAGAGGGTATGTAATAAATGCCAGCGGTGACTAGTGCAAGTATTCGTATATTAGGACAAAATACAACTATTTGTTAAAAAGGTAAGACGTTTGCATGGTCAGAATGGAAGACATTTGCACAGTCAGCAGATAAAACATGCATCCAGTTAGAATGTAAGACATATATAGTGTGCTTACACAAATAATGCTTGCCCAGGAGACTAACTGACGAGAGTAGGAAAAACTCATATGTGTGTGCGTTACTTGGGTAAAATATGGTAGTACATAAATATAGTAAAAAACCAATGTAGAAAGCTATGTGGTAAAAGATGCCTCCCCTTCTCTTCCCTTACTTTCATTTCCCAGTGAAAGTCAGTAGTCCATATTGTATTCTGGAAAACACGTTTTGATTCCTCATTGGTTTTAAATTCATTTAGGATACTTAAAGCCTTTATTTCTTGTTTTCTTAACTTCTTTTGTTGTTGTTGTTGTAATGTGCCGTCGAGTTGACTGAAACTCAGAGTGAACCTGTGAACACGGCAGTCAACTTTCTCCTGTCCTGAGCCAGTGTCACTGTCTGTGACCCACCTACTCCTATTGCCACAGTCACTATGTCAGTCTCTCTTATCCACGGTCCAGAGTCCTCCTCTCCTGTGCTGACCCTCTACCCTTCCAAGCATGATGTCCTTCTCTAAGGACTGGTCCTTCTTAACAACGTGCCCGAAGTAGGTGAGACAAAAAAATGGCTGGATTATTTCAGTGTCCTTAAGAGTTTTTTCCATCTCCATCTCTCTTTCCTCACCTGCAAATTTCTGGGTGTGTTTTTAATTTTCCAAAGTGAAATTCTGTTACTATAGTAGTCTTCCACAAGCCAATAGGTTCACTCCAAAAGTTGGAAACTTAATATACCATATATATAAAGCCTTCATTCAGTGGACACAGTGCCCACTTGCCAGTTGCTAAGAATATCTCTGGGGATGAAATAAACATTTTGTCTTAAGCTTACATTCTAGTTGAAGAGAAACACAGGAAACAAAATAGGTAACTATGTTTTGTGTTAGAGATGTAGTAGTGATTGTGAAGATGATGTAGGACCTGGTACTTCATTTGGTATAAAAAGAGCAGTTTCACAAAGGGGAACTGTTAACAACACAAAACCAATTCCCAAGAGATCAGACATGTCCTCTACACTCCCACACCTTTTTCTACTCTTCTCAACCCAATCTTACTATTTTACTGGGTCCAAAATGTGATGCAATAGCTCACAGACCATACAGAACCATATTAAGGAAGTTAGAAGGCTATACTTCAGATTAGTAGCAGAATACAATCAGGACAACTTCTGAAATTTGCTCACAGGTATCACAGCCTTGAGACTTGCAGCTTTAGGCTAGTGTGACAAAACTCTCAGCCCTATAATTATGGCTCTACCCACTCCTGTCCTCCAATAAGCTTGGGCCAGAGGCTGTTAGGTTCAGTGGCATTGCAGTCGCCAGGTCCACTCTATCAATGGAGGTCTCTAGTTCTCCACTGTGGCTGTTATGGTGCCTGCTCCTATAGGCCCTAGTCGGGCTGGTGCAAGAATCTCTGGCTCTGAAGGACGTCATGTGCTCTCCTTTGCTGGTAGTGAGGTTTTCAAATTCTCCTGTATCTGCTCACTTTAATGGGAGAGACTAGTCAATCCCCAAGTGGATAGGATAATAAATCCTATTCACGTGTTTCCACCCATCCACATGGCAAAGTCAGTTAATGGATAGGAAAATAATTTTATTAATAAATCCTTAATAGCACAATTTGTTATATGTTAGGTTGGCAAGAGCTAGAGCAGGCTTCCATACTAAGTGCTCTGGAGAAAGCAGCAGGGACTGTGAGGAGTGGTTTGTATGCTAGAACTGGGTGGTCAGAGGAGATCTCACTAAAAAGGAGAGGAGTTGGTGATCAGGCAGCAGGTTCTAGGGGCGGCCAGTGTGGCTAGAAGTGGCCAGGGGCTCAGAGCAAACAAGGACTGTTGTTTTCACTGAATGGGTAGATGGCATCAGGGCACAAGCATGACAGGCTCGGACTTAGATTTTAAGAGCATCGCTGGTTACTGCATTGAGATAGAACAAGGGCAGAACATAGAGAGGATTGCTAGTTAACTGCATTGAGATAGAGCATGAGAAACTGTTTCTAAAATCAGTGCAGAATCTGATGGTGGCCACAGCTAAGAAGATGGTCAGTAGTGATCTAATTCTAAATATGTTCCAAGTAAAGGCAGTAGGATCAGGGCAGGTTGGAAGTAATGTGTTAGCAGGGTTTCAAACTGGTTGACTCAACATGTTGAGACTGCATTTCCATCCCAGATAGACTGAATCAGAGCCTACATTTTATCCCAGCTGATGGAATCTTGTTAAAATATAGATTGTGATTCAGTCTGTCTAGAGTGGAAATGCATGTTCTTAGCAAAGAATTGAACATTAGAATGAACCAATTTGAAATCCTAGGCATTAGGAAGATTCAAGGAATAATGTTATATGCCAGTGCCATTACCAGAGATAGGGGAACTGCAGGAGCTTGGGTTTGGATGTGTGAGGTGCCTGTGGGACATACAGCTGGAGTTGGCAGTTGGCAGTTGAATATGTCAGGCCAGGAAATTAAAAGATGTATTGCAATGGGAAAGTCTGCTGTTAGGGACCTCTCCAGAGTACTGAAGAGCAGTAGTGTCACTCTGGAGACTAAGATGCGTCTGATACAGGCCATGGTCTTTGCAATCACTTGTTATGCATCAGAGAGTTGGACAATGGCTAGGGAGGATAGAAGGAGAATTGATGCCTTTGAGCTGTGGTGCTGGAGAAGAATATTGAATGTACCATGGACTGCTAAGAAAACAAACAAGTTCATCCTGAAGAGGGTTAAACCGGGCTGCTCCTTGGAGGCAAGGATTCAGGGGCTCTGTCTGACATACTTTGGGATGTTGTAAGGAGGGACATCAGGCTTGGGAGGGTGGAGGGACAGCACAGGAGGGGAAGACCCTCTATGAGGTGGATTGATTCAGTGAGTGGGTTAATCGGAATGGGTGTGTCGGAGGCAGTGCATCTGGCACAGGATAGAGCAGGGTTTAGGGCTGTTGTACATAGGGTTGCTATGACTCGCAAGCAACTTGGATGGCACATAACAATAACAACACGGACTACCAGAAAGATGTCAGAGATGACATTTGGGAGCCATCAGCAAAGGCCCCAAAGACCGAGACGAGATGGTAACACAAGGGAATTGGTTCAGAGCTGAGTCCTGGGACATGTCAAAAAGACCTCTTGGAAGGGAGCTCTGGTGGCCTAGTGGCAAAAAGTTGTACTGCAATCCCAGAGGTATGCTGTTTGAATCCACCAGAAACTCTGCTGGAAAAGGAGGGGCAATCTCCTCCTATACCAGTCAGATCCAATTTGATGGTACACACAAAAATAATAATAATAATAATAATAATAATAATAATAATAATAATAATAATAATAATAATAAAAGAAAGAGCTCTTGGTAAAGGAGGCTGAGGGGTAGACATTGGAAAGAAAATATCCTGGAAGCCTTTAAAGGAGGCTGAGTTGACACCAGGGAGATCTCTGGTAGAGGAGTCCGTAATGAGTTACTCTGTGAACCCCAGGCCAAGTGGTTTGAATCTACCAGCAGCTCTGAGGGGAAAAAGATAGGCAGTTTCCTCCCTTTACAATTTACAGTCTTTGAAACCCAATTGAGGGTCAGTGTGAGTTGGAATCGACACAAGAACTTTGAGTTTGGCAGGACACTATTAAGTGCTGGTGGTTTGATCAAGCCTGAGAAAGCAACCTTATATGTAGACGCATAGTATGCAAAGGAGTGGTTTCCATATGCTGATGAGAATAAAACATAGTGAGAGAGTTTGCTTTTGTGGAAGCTGTTGTTGGGTGCCGTTGAGTAGAGTATGACCCATTAACAACACTATGAACAATAGATCCGAGTCCTGTCCTGTCCTGTCCTGCATCAACCTCATAATCTCTGACTTACTCGAACCCTTTGGTGTGTAGTTACTGTTGTCAATCCATCTGGTTGAGGGTCTTCCTCTTTTTCACTGCCTTTTCTGAACAGTAGCTAGAGGACTGTAATCAAGAGAGGTTTTTGACAGCAAGTACTGTCAATGCTACACCTGGATTTGTTCACGTCCCTCACCGCTCTTGTTGACAGTACTTGCTGATGGGTTTGAATTTGAGGGGTGAGGTAAAAAGACAGTAAATTTCTTTTTCATACCTCATAGCTGCAAGAGACTTAATAATTTAGAACAGAAGAAAAATTTTGCTGTTTTTTTCCACCTTTCAAAAATCTCAAATTGTTAATTTCAGGCATTAATTTCCCACATAAACGCTGAATATTTAACCTTAAAGTCTGTTGGCATCAGGAGAAACAAGAAAAAAAATGGTGTTCAGCTGAGTGAGAGTGTCATTTCAGCAGTGGAGGAGTTGGTCAGTGTTTCTTGTGGTGAGTAATACATATTGATAGTTTATTTCTACCAAAGTTTCAGAGAATTAGTACTTATTACTGCAGGCCTAGAGATGATGACTGATTCTTTGTATCAATGTCTTTCTCTCAGAAGAAGTAGATGGCTGCCCTGTGATTCTGGTTTGTGGAAGCCAGGACATTGGAAAGTCAACATTTAATAGATATCTCATTAATCAGTTGTTAAACAGGTAAGATCACTTTTATTCTTGTCACATCTAGCTGGAATTTTCTTTTACAGAAAATATTCTTTTTTTATACTTGTTTACTTAGAAAATTCATACACATTGTTTTTCACACTGGATGGTTCCCATTTCCTTTACCACCCTTTACTCCATCTATCAAGTTGTGTGATAATATGATTATTCTCCCCCCACCTCTCCCATCCTCACCCCTCTGCTCTCACCCTCCCTGCCTTGGATCCTCATACATGTTTTACTAATTATCTTTCTACTTCTACAATAATGGTTTTATACAGAATTTGTCCTTATGGGACTGAGTAAGTTCACTTAGCATAATACTCTCCAGTCCCTCCCAAGGCAGATAGTAATTTACAAAATCATTGCTCCTGTATGTTGTGTAGTATTCCATCATGTGAATGTACCATCATTTCTCAATCCTTTCGTTAGTGGTTGGACATTTGGGCTGTTTTCCATGTTCTTGCTATGGTGAATAATGCTGCTGTGAACATTGGTATACAAGTCTTCATTTGTGTTTCAGTTCTCATTTCCTTTTCAAGTAGTAGAATAGCTGGGTCGTATGAAATTTTTATGTTCAGTTTTCTGAGGAAACGCCATACTGCCTTCCAGAGTGGTTGTACCATTTTGTAATCCCACCCACATTGTATAAGAGTTCCTGTCTCCCAGAGGTGCACAGTTCAAATCCTCCAGATGCACTACTGGAGAAGGAGGGACAGTCTCCTCCTGTACCAGTCAGATCTGATTTGATGGTACACACATAAAAAAAAAAAAGAAAAAAAAAGAGTTTCTATCCTCTCCAACATTTATTGTTTGCTGTCCTGTTAAACTTTGCCACTGCTACTGGAGCGAGATGGTACCTCATTTTGGTTTTGATTTGTCTCTCTCTTATTGCCAGTGATTTAGAGCATTTCTTCATGTGTCTGTTGGCCATTGAATATTTTCTTCTGAAAAGTCTTTTGCCCATTTTGTAATTGTGTTATCAGTCTTTTTCTTTGGAGGTCCTATAGGATTCTATAAACTTTTGATATGAGACTTATCTGAAATGGTATTTCTAAATGTTTTTTCCCAGTTGATATGTTTTCTTTTCACTCTGTTGGAAAATGTTTTTGATACACATCAGTATTTAATCTTTAAAAGTTCCAATTCATTAGTTTTATTCTCTCTAGATTGTGCATCCCTGCGTGTATTTGGCAGTCTCTTTATACCATAGATTAGGCCATCTAAGCTTGATCCCAGTTTGTCTCTAATACACTTTATGGTTTTGGACTTTACTCCCAGATCTCTGATCTCCCTTGAGTTGATTTTTGTATATAGTGTGAGATATAGATCCTGTTTCAGCTTTCTGCAGGTAGCAGTCCAGTTTTGCCAGCACCATTTGTTGAAGAGATTATCATTTCCCCATTTGATAGGTTTTACTTCCTTGTCGAACATCAGTTGACCATAGATAGCTGGGTCTGTTTTGGGGTTCTCAATTCTGTTCCATTGGTCTATGTGCCTGTAATTGTACCTGTACCATGATGTTTTGGTTACCACCTCTGTGTAGTAGGTGTTTTTGTGGGTTGTTTTTCTTGTGCTCTCTCTCTCTCTTTTTTTTAATGCTAGTTTATTTTGTAGCAGGTTTTAAGGTCAGGGAATGCTATGCTTCCCACTTCATTTTTGTATTTTTGATTTTCAAAAGTTCTTTGCTTATTTGAGGTCTCTTTCCTTTCCAAATAAACTAGACAGTTTCCCTTTTGACATCCTTGAAAAATGAATTTGGTATCTGTGTTGGGATTGCGTTGAACATAGAGATTGCTTTTGGTAGGATTGTCGTTTTCACAATATTGAGTCTACCTTTCTATTTCCATTTATTTAAATATTTTATTATGTCTCGCAGAAATGTTCTGTAGTTTTCTTGTACAGGTCTTTTGTGTTTCTAGTTAGGTTCACTCCCAAGTATCTCAATTTGTGGTTGGCTATTGTAAATGATATTGCTTTCTTGGTTTCCTTCCCTGAGTTCTCTTTGTTACTGTAGAGGAATCCCACTGAGTTTGGATATTGATCTTATATCCTTCCACTCTACTAAACTGGTCTACTAGATCTCAGAGATTTTTTTGAGTCCTTGGGGTTTTCTGTGTACCCTATCATATCATCTGCATATAGCGATAGTTTAACCTTCTTTTTGCCGATTTGGATGCCTTTTATTTCCTTCTATTGTTATATTGCCCTGGCAAGCACTTCCAATACAATATTGAATAGAAGTGATGATAGTGGACATCCTTGTCCCTGTTTGTAAGGAAAACATATCTAGCTAGATTTTTAGCATGAAGTAGGATTGTTTTATTTAAAATATTTTAGCTTTCCATTGCAGACTTAAATAAAGGTAGTATGCAGTGCAACTCCTCAGCCATGGTACAACCACTATGGAAGGCAATCTGGTGTTTTCTAAAATAGTTGGAAATAGAAATACCATTTGACCCAGCAATTCGATTACTTGGAATATAACCACTAAAGAAAACAGAACTGCCACCCAGATAGATGTCTGCACACCAGTGTTGATTGCTGCACTATTCACAATAGCAACGAGATGGAAGCAGCTCAAGTGTCCATCAACAAAGGAATGGATAGAAAAACTATGAAACATTCACACAATGGAATATTATAAAGCACTGAAAAGCAATGAACTTGTCAAACACTACACAACATGTATGGGCCCGGAGGACATTATACTGAGTGAAATATTTCAATCTAAAAGGACTAATACTGCTGCACTGCAATGCCAGAGGTGTGTGGTTCAAATCCACTAGATGCTGTGCTGGAGAAGGAGGGGCAATCTCCTCCTGTACTAGTCAGATCCAATTTGACGGTACACACAAAAATAATAGTAAAATAAAATCATCTTTTTAAAAACTGTATTATTTTTACATGTACCGTCAAATCAGATCTCCCCCCCCCTTCGCTCTTTTTTTTTTATTGGGAAAAAACATATTGAGGGTACAAGGAGGTGAGGGTTGGGGGCAGAAGGGAAATCTTTTTTTTTAAAAAAAAAGGACAAATACTGCATAACACCGCTATTATAAAATAAGACTGACATGAGGGAGGAGTTGGGGGGAGAATTGGAAAAGAGTGGACAAATAATGAACATTGTATTGGAATAGAGGAGGGAAAGAATGATCCTAAAGGAATATATGATTAGGAATTATATACATGTATGACAACAATTTGGAGTAAGAGATGCATTGCAAAATGGACTGGGAGGGGGTGGAGGAGGAGGGAAGAACATATGCAACAATGGATAATTGATAATTATTAATTAATTGAATAATTATAAATAAAACAACAACAGCAGCCCCTCCTCAGCCAGATGACAACATTCTTTAGTGTATTTGAGAGTCAGATGATGATAAGGTTGAGTGTATTGATCGTGGCTTGTTTATCGGTAGTTATGCAGGAGAGAAGTCAGCCTCTGTCCATGTGATATTTCTGAATCCAGAGACTCAGAATAGGGATTGAGTTTGCTGTATTTTTCATTTTTTTAAATTTTTTTTTTTTTTTAATTTTTGTGTGTGTGTACCGTCAAATCAGATCTGACTGGTACAGGAGGAGATTGTCCCTCCTTCTCCAGCAGAGCATCTGGTGGATTTGAACCATGCGCCTCTGGGATTGCAGTACACCTTCTTGCCACTAGGCCACCAGAGCTCACCGAGTTTGCTGTAAGCTTTTAAGACTTCAGATGCTGTATTTTTTTAAAAAAGTAATTTTAGGGGAGGGTTGGGAGGGGAGAAAAGTGCAACAATGAATGAATGGAAATCCAAAGTCTCTGTCAATTTTCATTGAAATTAATAAAAAATTTAAAAAAAACTATAAACAACTAAAGCAAAAAAATAAAAAAAAGTAATTTTAGGAAAGATGTGATATCCACATTATGAGCACACAAGTTTGCTGTGCCGACTCCAGATTTTCTCTTTACATCAGTGATTAATAGTCTACAGAGAGAAAGATTGGTACTCACCTTTAGTACATTACACCTTGAAGGCTCAGCACACACTGAATTGTGCATGGGTAGCACGTAAACTCTTTTAAGATAGGTCTTATCTTTCCTACAAAATATAACTAATTTAAGATTTCTTTTTTCCCCTCCCACTTTTTAGTATTCCTTGTGTTGACTATTTGGAATGTGATCTGGGACAGACAGAATTTACTCCTCCTGGATGCGTTTCTTTATTGAATATTACAGAACCAGTTCTAGGTATGTAGAATCTTAATTTTTAAGTGTCTTGGGTTTATAAAATTAAAACATAATACTTCTTGGGAAAAACTCAAAGAATAGAAAAGCCTGAAATCTAAAAAGGGAACATGCTCCATACTAATGATGACCTAATTAACTGTTCTTCCACTGCCTGAAAACTAACGGTGCCTCCCTTCTAGGGTTTTATTTCAGAGAATGGTCCAATTCTCCACTTTATATCAATTAGAAACGTACTTCCCTATAATATTAATATTCATGTACATCTAATGTAGTTATTAAACCAAGAAATGAACATTGATAAAATATTAATTTATAGATTTTACTCACACTGTACCAGTTATATTACGTTAACCTTACTTTTCCTTATGCAAAATCCGGCATTGAATCCCTCATACTTTGTTTCCTTTGTGTTTTCTAGTAGGGAGCACTGTTAACTTCTGCCTTGCAGAACCTTGAACTTTTGGATGGTACTAGCACTGTACTGTGTATTTTGCAAATGGTATTTAATTGCTCTGTAACCATATGCTTCACTGAGTGGTCTTTGCACATTTATTGAAAATCAGTTGTCCATGTGAGAGTCCATGTGTGAGTTGTCTACTTATTTTGTTTTTGGTGAAAGTTCACATAGCAAGTTTAGATTGTTCATTGATAATTTCTATCCAGATTGTTCAGTGATATTTTGAAATCAAGTGGAGGTAGTTCTCCAGCTTTGGTTTTTCTTTCTTTAAAAAAACTCCCTTTTTATTTAAAAAAATATTGTATGGGTTTGCTCACAGAGTTTGTATACATTGTGTATCACTGTTCTTCAGTTCATATTGTGTTTCATACAATCGTTTCCATGCATTATGGTTTTGGTTTTTTTAATTAATATGTGTGTGTGTGTACCGTCAATCAGATCTGACTGGTACAGGAGGAGATTGTCCCTCCTTCCCTGGCAGAGCATCTGGTGGATTCGAACTGTGCACCTCTGGCATTGCAGTGCAGCTTCTTGCCAGTAGACCATCAGAGCTCCCCTGCATTATGTTTTAAAATCAGTCACCATTGGTCCTTGCCCAGCCTTTTTCTTTTCTTTCTTTTTTTTTCCCTGTGTACCATCAAATCAGATCTGACTGACACAGGAGGAGATTGCCCCTCCTTCTCCAGTGGAGCATTTTAAAAAGAAAAAGGTTTGAATCCAGCAGAGCATCTGATCACATGATTCTAGGCTCTTGTCATGACAATAATACCTAATCATATATTCCTTCTAAACTGTTCTCTCTTTCATCTGTTTCAGTGCGGTATACATTATTTACCCCTCTTGTATTCCCCCCCAACTCCACTGTCAGACCCGTTTTACAACAGTGGCACTATGCAGTACTTTTCCTTTTGTTTTATGGTTTGTTTGGTGGGGTTTTTTTTTTTTCCTTTTGTGACAGATATTTCACTCAGCATCATGTCCTCCAGGGTTATCCATTTTGCCCAATATTTCATGAGTTCCTTTTTTTCAATGCTACATAGTATTCTATTGTGTGGATATACCAGAACTTCTCTATCCATTCCTTTGTTGATGGGCACTTGGGTTGTTTCCAACTCTTTGCTATTGTGAACAAAGCAGCAGTAAACATGGGTGTGCATATAACTACTTGCTTGGATGGCAGTTGTGGTTTCTTTATGGTATACTCCCAGTAGTGGGATTGCTCAGTCAAATGGTATTTCTATTTCCAACTTTTTTTTCTAATGCAACTTTTTTTTAACAGCATATTCTTCCCCATTCATTCATTGTTGCACATTTTCCTCCCGGTCCACCCCTCCCCCCCAGTTAGCTTTTCTCTTTGAAAAGTCAAAAGATAATCTTTCATTGTTATACAAATCCCCCACCCAAATCCACAGTCCACTTTACTATGCATTTCTTTTTCTGGAATCTTGTCATGAAAATAATACCTAATCATATAATCCTTTTAAACAGTTCTCTCCCTCATCTATTTCAGTGCAGTATACATTCTTTATCCCATCTTTCTCAGTTTCCTCCCAACCTCGATGTCAGTCCCATTTTACAACAGTGTCATTATGCAGTATTTGTCCTTTTGTGACTGAGATATTTCACTCAGCATAATGTCCTCCAGGGTCACTTATTTTGTGTAATATTTCATGAGTTCCTTGTTTTTCAGTGTTGCATAGTGTTCCTTATGTGAATATACCGCAGCTTCTCTTTGCATTTGTTTGTTGATGGGCACTTGGGTTGTTTCTAACTCTTTGCTACTGTGAACAAAGCAGCAATAAACATGGGTGTGCATATAACTGCTTAGATGGTCGTTCTGGTTTCTTTAGGGTATATTCCCAGTAGTGGAATTGCTGAGTCAACTGGTATTTCTATTTGCAACTTTTTGAGAAAGTGCTGTTATTGACTTCCACAGTGGTTGTACCATTTTATACTCCCACCAACAGTGAGTTTCTCCAGTTTCTCTACAACCTCACCAGCATTTGTATTTGCTGCTCTGTTGAATTTTGCTGTTCTTACTAGGGTGAGATGATACCTCATAGTTGTTTTGATTTGCATCTCTCTTAGAGCTAGGGATTTTGAACACTTCTTCATGTGTTTGTTTGCCATCTGAATGTCTTCTTTGGTGAAGTGTATTTCTAACTTTTTGAGAAAAAAAATTTGCTGGGGTGAGATGATATCTCATAAGAACATTCACTCTTTATCTACCCATTTTAATTGTTAGCTGTGAATTTAACATAAATTCTCCTTATCAGATTGAAGAATTTTGTTTCTTTTCTTTTTAATTTTTTCTTTTTTGTGAGTGTGTACTGTCAAATTTGATCTGACTGGTACAGGAGATTGCCCCTTTTTCTCCAGCCGATCATCTGGTGGATTCGAACTGGGTGCCTCTGGGATTGTAGTGTGGCTTCTTGCCACTAGGTCACCAGAGCTCCCTTTCTTTCTGTTCTTAGTTTGCAAAGCATTTTTATCAGGATTGGATGTTGTCAGATGCTTTTTGTTTGTCTGTTGAGATAATCATGTGCTTTTAAAAAATTTAACTCTTGATAGGATTCTTGTTTTATTGAAGTATTTTATGTAGTAAAATGCATGTGACATTTACTAGCTCAGTAACTTAACATGTGCAGTTGATGGTGATTACTGAGTATTTAAGGTTCCTCTATGTGTTTACCTGACTTAATAAACTTGTTTCTTTTTATCATTCAATGTTGTCAATTCTGTTACAACTCATTGTGACCCTCTGTACAACAGAACAGAATTCTGCCTGTCCCTGACCATCGTCACCACCTTTGCTGTGCTTAAGCCCATTGTTGGTAGTTACCGTATTAGTCCTTCTTGTTGAGAATGGAGAATCTCTTTCACCAACTCTGTTTTATCAAACATAATGTCTTTCCCTGGGGACTGTCCTCTCCTGATATCATTTGGTATGAAGTCTGACCACCCATGCTTTTTTGTTTTTGTTTTTTTAATGTAAAATATATTTTTATTTCTTTAAAATCACGTGGATATTATTTCCAAAATGCAAGAAAAATAGTCCCTGACGGATGAGGCACTAAGAAGAATCTATGGAGCTTCTATGTGGCAGAGCCATGCTGGAAAGCTGTGGGAGAATGTTATAATTCTATGGCGAATCTATGTGGGAGAAGGATAGAAATAGTTGAGATCTAAAGAACTCTGCAAATCCCATACCAGTCATAAAGAACTCATCCTTCCAGTAGGCCTGAAAGGTTTGGTCAAAAAAACACCTGAGCCTTGATCTTGCCGGCATGGCTGCTGACATGCCTGGGCAATGAGAAACTGGAAAGGTATCTGGAGTAGATATTGGAAGAAATAGTTGCCCAAACCCCCAGGATCCCCAGCCTAATGGTCTGGATTCTGAGGACGCCGAGGGTGTCTTTCCATGGAGATGTCGTCCAGGGAGGCTGCCATGGCATCACTGGTTGGGTCAGGGAGTGGTCCACTTATGTTTTTAAGGAACACTTTGTTTATGCTTCTGAGGTAAATTTGTTCGTTCTTTTAGCAGTCTATGATATATTCCGTATTCTTTGCTAACACAATTCAAAGGCATCAATTCTTTGGTTTTCTTGATTGAATAATAAGGTCTCTCCACTTATGATGGAATAATTTTCCATTATGTGGATAAACCACCATTTATTTTATCTAGTCACCTATTTAAAGACATTTTATTTGCTGCTTATTTTGGCAGTTATGAGCAAAATGTTTATCACCCTTTTTGTGCGATTTTGAATGTCGATTTATGTTATTCTCTTGTTTCAGTGAAATACTGTTTTATATTAAAGTTGATCTGTGTTTAATATTGCAAGAAACTATCACACTGCCTTCCAGAATGGTTGTATCATTCTGTATTCCCATGAGCAACTAGTGACAGTTCATCTTTTTCCACCTCCTTACCAGCCTGGTTATAGCTCTGGTGGTGTAGTTGGTAGTGTATTGTACTGCTAACCAAAAGGCCTTATGTCTTTGGCAGTTCGAATCCACTAGCAGTTCTGTGAAGAATAACGAGCAGTTGCCTCCCATTCAGTTTTACAGCTTCAGGAACATGGTGGAGGGTAGCTGTGAATCAGAATTGACTCAATGGCAGTGAGTTTAAATGCGTTTTCTGAATAGATAGGTGTTATCTTGCTTTGATTCACAGTTGTTCAGTACTTGATGGTACATAACAACAGTGACATACAGGGACCTCTGGTGGCCTCACTATGATTTGGTTCTGACTTGATGGCATTTAATAACTGGTGGTTGTTAGGGCCCAGGATTGCTATCTCATTTTCATAGAAGAGGACTTGAAGCTGGGTTTCTCAAGAGAAACAGGAAAAGAATTTAAAACAATTGTGCCAAGCTGTGTGATAAGGAACCTGGTGATAGTCCTTCTGACAGAAGCCAAAAGGGGTTACACCAGGAAGTAACCCCCTCCCCAAGAATTCAGGTGAACCAAATCATAGTCATTTCCTTAAGTCCTTAGATGGGGCTTTCTCAGGAAACTGTACCCTAACTTGGGGTCTCT